CTTACTGACTGGGGTTTGACCCCACAACCTAGGTACGTGTCCTGAACCCACAAGACTTTTGGTGTACGGAACGATGCTCCAACCAAGTGTACCACCTGGCCAGGGAGGTACCACACCCGTACTGAGAATACTAACAAGTATGAGATCCTGGAGGGTGGAAAGTCAAGGCTGGGTTCTCTGCTGGCTTCCTTCTCACTCCCTCACACTAGGCAATGCAGACGTGCAGTGTAATTGTGGGATAGTATTAAAAGGAGGCAACCTGGGGCCAGATGGCCAGTGGCTGTCTGCCATGTACCAGCTGTGTCCCCTGGGGTAAGTCACGGCATCTGCCTGTGCACTTCAGTTTCTTCATCTTCTCAATGGAGCCAAGAAATTATCTCATAGGACTTTTGAGAAGGGTGTAGGAGTAAATGCTGGTAAAACTTAGAACAGTGCCTGCCGTGTAATAGGAGCTCAAAATTAGCTGTTTTCACCATCATCACCATAAGCATCGCCACCATATCTCCTGACACGGCCTCTAATGACTAGTCCTCCACTGATGTGATGAGGCCTGGCTGACCTGGATCACAGACTGCGGTACCAGATCAGCTTTGAGTCATCTCTTTTCCTTATTACCGCCTATTTGGAAAGGAATGCTTCCAAGAATGCTTGCTCTAAGACTACCTGACAGGCACAACTCTGAGCTTATAAAACAAATACATTAGATACTGACTGGTCATATACAAGCAGATGCCAGGCAGAGTCCCTAAATCAGTGATTCCTGCTTAGAGACGCATTCCAGAACAGCCCGTGGAGCGTTAGGAACACACACATGCCCAGGGCTCACACACATGTCAGGGAGATTCTGATTCCGTCGGCATCTTGTTTCCCAAGCAGCCACAGACGGTTCCAATGTGTGCTCTCCCCAGGAACCGGTGCTTTTCAATTCTGGGTGCATTGAAAAACGCGAGGCCCAGGCCCCACCCAGGTCCATTGAATCTGAACTTAGCTATCGTTGTTTTAAAAGTTCTTTGGGTGCTCCGTCAGCATGGCTCAGTGGTTGAGCACTGACCTATGAACCAGGAGGTCACGGTTCAATTCCCGGTCAGGCACATGCCCGGTGTGTGGGCTTGATTGCCAGTGTGGGGCATGCAGGGGGCAGCTGATCCATGCTTCTCTCTCGTTATTGATGTTTCTACCTGGCTCTCCCTCTTCCTTCCTCTCTGAAATCAATAAAGATATATTTAAAATAAATAAATAAATAAATAAATAAATAAATAAATACAAGTTTATTGGGTGATTCTCACCAGTGGTCAGGGTTGAGAGTCACTGCTTTAAATACCGTTTTCTGACAAATGCAAGATGTGGTTTATTTGCATATAATTTTCAGAAACATATCAAAAGGTGGTTCTTGATTAAAAGGTGAAAGAAAAAACAAAGAGAATCCATTCTTGACTGGGGTGCAGGGAGGACCGAGTGGCTTACAGACTAATCCCGATGAAGGCCCAGCAAGGAGGGAGACAACTTGCTTCTCCCAACTCTCCTCCCCAGTGCTGGCTCCACACCTGCCTCCAGCCACACAGGTGGCGGGCCTGTGGGAATTACCCTGGGTCTCAACTGTCCTGTAACTGAGGTTAATGTGCAAACTGCTTAATCTGCAGCAGCCGGAAAGTAAACTAGGCGCTGTGGGGGTGAGGTCTACTCAGGCTGAAAAAAGTGTGCGGAGGGTTCATTTTTACTCATTTTCCGCCTTCCCTTGCCAAAGCAACTTTGGGCAATGACAGGGCAGTTTTAAAATCTGACAGGAAGTCAAGTAACACTGCTTTAGGAATTCTAAGGATTGAAGACCTCTTGCATGCTTTCAGACAAAATCAATACTGTGGAGAAACTCCGCTTTGAAGTTTATAAATCTAGATTGAGAGGCATGATAGACATAAACTAATACTTCTTGTACTTAAATTTTAATAGACGGCGTGTACATGAGCTGCTCAGGTAAATGCTTCTCACTAGTCGTGCACAGTGTAAGTGGACTCCTCCCTCTGGAAACTTCTCTTTTGAAGAATTAGCCTTTTCTCTCTCTTCTATAATGAATGAGACACTTGGGACTAAATAGGTTAATACACCTCTTTCAGAATTTGTTTTCCCCTTTCTTCCAAGTTTTTTATTTTGAAGGTGTTCATACAAATAAGAAAGTTGAAAAAACAGTATAAGAAATACCCATATACACTCCACCTCGGTTAAACAATTACATTTTTGCTGCACTTGCTTTTTTCCGCCCCCCTCTCTCTCTTCACACACATACACTTTTTTTTTCTGCTGAACTACTTGAAAATAAACAGCTGACTTAATAATTACTTCATTCCTGAAAACTTCAGCAATGCATACCCCTGCATGGAATAGAGACAGTCCCCTATAGAGCTGCAATACTGTTACAGCTGCTAAAAAATTAACTATTTCTTAACAGTATAGCCAGTAAATTTTCAAATGCCCCCAACTGTCACTACAATGTTTTTATGCCTTCCACACTTTTTTTTTCTCCCAAATCTCTGGGGAATTTATCCTGAAAGTGTGGCCAGGAGTAAGGTTATATGTTCATTAAACATGCTCTTTCCACAAGGCATGCTTGCCAGACCATGGGATTCTCTGTGGTCATTAAAGAAAGCAACTTCCTCCTTCTGCAGTTATCAGCTTCAGACTTCTTTGTAAAGGTTTCAAGATGTCCTAAGCCTTCCATCCCCCTGCCTGTTCTACAGGAGTGCTTCACAAGAAATTGAAACAGCAACAAAATGAGCAAAAGGACATCAGTTTTATCTCAAAACTTCTCTTTACCCTTTATTTTTCACAAATCCTTCATTCTGAGAAAAGGCTGCCCTTCCATTCCACTTGAGTAAGTAGGTCTAGGTAAACACTAACAGGGAATGGTGTGAGGACCCTCAGAGGTCGGTCTGCAACCTTGCCACACTGCAAATATTTATAGTATTTTACTTTACGGTTGCTGTGCTGAACATGGGAGGTAACATAACTATGGTGGTAATAGTGGTGGAGGTGATGGTGGTGGTGGTGGCAGAAGTGATGGTGGCAGTGATGGATGGTGGTGGTAGTGGCAATATGGTGAGGTCATGGTGATTGTGATCCCAATTTCAGGTCCTTGCCACAAAGCCAATACACATTCAGAAATATAAACCATAATTAGTTTAATCATGGATTTTGCTATTCCAGTATAGAACTAGACACGTTTGATACAAGAGAAAAATGTCACCGATACACAACGAATATATTTTCACCTGCAATTTTATAAGCTTTGTGTGGTTTCTTTAGGATATGGAGAATAACAGGCATTTTTACACTTGTAATTATTATCAATGTACCCATGAACATCTCATTTCAATCGGAAACATCAAGAGATCAGGATGATCTGACTAGAATAATGACCACAGTCAACCAAGCAAAGAGATCCTCAGAATTTCTCAACCAACAACAGGACAACACCTTATACCAAAGAGACAAGTGATTTTTTAGTGTTAACACCCACGTAAACCATGACAAACTGTGGTACCTGTAATCATTCCACAAAGGGTGTTTTTGCCTAAACAAAACTGAATAGCCACTGTATTCACCTTGTAAGGCCTGGAAGCTAAGAATGTTCTAGAGAGTGTAGAATAATAAAATGTTTACCGTAGATCCTTGTGAAGCACAATGTACATCTGTGTGTCTGGAAATCAGCATCTCCAGACAAGTAGGAGTCTTGAAGTTCTCTCTGCTTATCATCTAATTCATCTGCTCAAATTCACCTTCATTGTGCAGTGAATAAGTGCAGCATAATTTCACCAATCATCTACATTGTTCAATATTATAAGACACCTTCAAAATTAACTTTATGTTTCAAATAGTTTCATCCATCATCAACTCAGGAAGGCAAATTTACAATCAGGTATTGTATGATTCTAGAATAATGAACCATCCTGAGCCCATATGCAGCAGAACTACATTGCTGGGACTTCTTATATTAAACCAATTATCTATTCAACCACAATTATTGAAACACCCAAACACCAAGTGAACCTAGTGGAGATTCTGGTAGAAAGCAAAATACTATCACATCTTGAGAAGGCCCATTACACACCTTTGAAACTAAGGAATCAAAAACATGAACCAATCTAATCTTTACTTGCTAAGAACAGTTGTAGCGAATTCCAACATGATACAAATTTTGTTTAGGAAGCCCTGGCCAGCATTGCTCAGTGATTAGAGCATTGGCCAATGTGCCCGAGAGTCTCTGGTTGGATTTCTGGTCAAGGGCACATATCTGGGTTGCAGGTTTGATCCCCAGCCCTGGTCAAGGTGCGTGCGGAAGGTAACCAATCAATGTGTCTCTCACATCGATATTTCTCTCTCTTTCTCTCCCTTTCTCCCCGCTTCAACTAAAAAAAAAGAAAAGAAAAAAAAAAGAAAATCAATGGAAAAAATCTCCTCGGGTGAGGATTAACAGTTTGTTTAGGAAAATCAAACATTCATGTGGATAATGTACATAACTATAGCTACCAATTATTATTAACTCTTTTTAAAAATTAAACTAGATTAGACCTAGAAATGAGAAAAGAGATCCATGCCTTGCCTAGGACTTTCTGAGTTTTTCTCTGTGAGGTTTTTAGGGACTCTCTGAGGAAGAGAGAGTTGTTTCCACAATTGATTTTTTAAAGATATATTTTTATTGATTCAAAGAGGAAGGAAGAGGGAGAGAGAGATAGAAACATCAATGATGAGAGAGAGAATCTTTGATCAGCTGCCTCCTGCACACCCCACACTAAGGATTGAGCCTGCAACCCAGATCGACGCTTAACCACAGAGCAACACCAGCTGGGCTGATAATTTTTTTTTCTTTCAGTGGCAACACAGAGAGATTTACAAATGCAAAATCAAACATGCAGAAATATAGTTCTTGTCACGGGACAGAGTTTGATTCAAACATACAAATGGAAGTTTAACAAACCAAAGAGTATTTTTTTAAAAAGAATGCCTACCTGCTCTTTGGATGGCACCAGGAGTTCTTCGATCATCATGCTGTCCCGGGCATAGGAGCTTCTGTTCAAGGTGTAAGACCTATCCGAACTGAAGGAGCGGAGGCTGTTGTATTTACAGTTAACCATTCAAGAGTGGTAGATGGTGATGAGATGAATAAAAAAAAAAATTAATGCATGCAACTTTAAAAACAGGCAAGATGGCTAAAAATATCAACCAAAGTTGTTCTTGAAAACACATGGTCAAAAATAAAATCCCTTATATTTGAGGAAATCTCTTACGCTTGGACAATCTCATGATCAGGTTTTGTTTAAAATTTGGCCAACTGGTGTTAAATCTGTGAGAAGATGAAATGCATGAAAACTTTGGATGTTCCACTGTGACAATCAAACCAACATGACAACTGAGAAGAACCAGATCATTCCAGATAATTTAATAACCTGAGAGATTTTTCTATGGTAAGACCTTGTGTTAGTCTCCTCTCTTTCTGGTCCCTATCTGTTTAGCTTGCATTATTCAATGAAATTGTGTCTGCTGTAAATAGTTCATTTATGTGTCTTGGGAGCTAGATATAGGGTTAAATTATCGAAAGGTTTATGGTTGCTACTCAGGGAGAGCATCAGGAAGGAAGGAAGCAGCGTTATGAATCCGTCTTACATGGTTTTCTTCTCCATCTTTCTGGCCTTGAAAATTTCAATTCCAGGTGAGCTCACATTTTTATTTCCTTTTCTTACTTGCTCCGTCTACCTTCTCCTTTCCACCCGCTTTCAAATCCTCTACACAGCCCCTGAACTTCCCAGAGTGCAAGCCTTCTTATGTCCTCAAATGCCACTCTCCACATTGACCTCTAAACTAAAAACTGACAAAGGGGTTCGGGAATGGGCGAAACGGTTGAAGGTTGTAAAAAGGTACAAAATTCCAGTTATAAAATAAATAAGTCCTGGGGGTGTCATGTGCAGCATGGCGATTATAGTTAATAATGCCGTCTTATATATTTGAAAGTCGCCAAGAGAGCAGATCTTAAAAGTTCTCATCACAAGAAAAAAAAATTGTAACTATGTGTGGTGACGGATGTTAACTAGAATTATTGTGATAATCATTTTTTAAAAAAATATATATTTCTTTATTGATTTCAGAGAGGAAGGGAGAAGGAGAGAGAGATAGAAACATCAATGACAAGAGGGAATCATTGATCGACTGCCTCCTGCACACCCTCCACTGGGGATGGAGCCCGCAACCCAGGCATGTGCCCTTCACCGGAATCGAACCTGGGACCCTTCAGTCTGCAGGCTGATGCTCTATCCACTGAGCCAAGCCGGCTAGGGCTGTGATAATCATTTTGCAATATATACACAAATTGAATCATTATATTGTACACCTGAAGCTAATATAATGTTATTTGTCAATTATATCTCAATCTTTAAAAAAGCAATAGCGAAGGGACCCTGGTAGCCCTGCACGTAACCACATAGGACAGGCAGGTGGTCCCTGCCTTGGCAGGACACCTTTGATGCTACAGGAACAGAGGATGGAGGTGGGGAGCTGCGTCAGGCATCTCCCACAGGCCTCCCTCTCACCTGCCACGGTGGGCCGTGACCAGGCAGCTCTTCATTGCCTCCTGAGGCTTCCTGCCCATCCTCCTCGGAAGAGAGTGGCAGAACACGAAACCATTTAGGGGCAATCTAGGACTGGCTCCTCAGCTAGGGTGGCAGACAAGGGCCATGGCCGTTGGCACCTGTCGCCGCCAATGTAACTAATAAACTGTCTGAATGAAAATGTGGCTGCTTGAATCTTTACCAGTAGATTCAGTCAGACTCTGGCCTTGGCTTTGTGTGTACTAGGCGGGGAAAAGAGCAAAGGAGAGGTGAATAAGGAATGACTCCTTGCTTTGCACAAAACGACTTCTTTCCCCCTCTGCACTTACTAAAGATTACCCCAAAGTATTTTTATATCAATACACAGAGGCCCGTCAATTATTCGAAGTGTCTACAGAAATGAGGAGGTACATTCTTCTAGGATCAGAGCCTTCGCTGTCACCAGAATCTTAGAGGGATCTAGAACTCCAGAATGACTATTACTGTACAGTCATAACTTAAGTGTATTCAGCAAATATTTGCTAAGTGGCTATTATCAGCTAGCCAAAATATTAATAACAGGATATAGAAGGAGAAAAAAAAAGTAAGCATTATCCCTGCACAGAGGAGCTTACCTAGTAAACCATGTGACCTCGAACACTCGGGCCTTCTGTACCCCCATAATGCATAACTCTTTCTCCCACCCCCCATTTCAGTTGCAAACATTTCCTTCTGTGATTCCTGTTTCTAGTGCCCTTCCATTCTCTCAAGTACATTATATAAACTTCCTAAGAGCAGGAACTCTCTTCCTACTCTCTAACTCAACTGTCCAACAGAACTTCTCCTGATGAAGGATGTGTTCTCAACCCGCACTGTCCAACACAGTGTCCACTGGCCACGCGTGGCCGCCGAGCACCTGGAGTGTGGCTGGTGACTGAAGAGCTGCATTTTAGGTCTTATTGCATTTTAACTAGTTGTCATCTAAAGAGCCGCACCACTAGGGGCTACACTATCAGACAGTGCAACTTCTAAGTACTCACAGCAAGGCTCTATTTTGCCGCAGGGATGTGATTTGAGAAACTCACTTGCCCCCTTAGACCAGGGGTCCTCAAACTTTTTAAACAGGGGCCCAGTTCACTGTCCCTCAGACCGTTGGAGGGCCGGACTATCGTTTTAAAAAAACCCACTATGAACAAATTCCTATGCTCTCTGCACATATCTTATTTTGAAGTAAAAAAAACAAAATGGGAACAAATACAATATTTGTATTTGCATGTGGCCCGCGGGCCGTAGTTTGAGGGCCCCTGCCTTAGACACTCATTTCTTTCTTTCTTTCTTTTTTTTTCAGACACTCATTTCTTTAAGTTATGGTCCCTCCGATGTATGTTAATATTGGTGATTCCTGAGAACAGTTTTACTATAGATATGGACAAAGACTTAACATTTTAAAGAAATAATTACATATTTATTTTAATTTCAGCTTTTAATTACATCTAAGATGGGTTGATACATTTTAAGCATTCTCTTTCTTTTAACTTACATAGGCATGCCAACTATAGGACAGAGCCCCGAACTGGGAGCTCTCAACAGAAAGGCCTAATGATGTCTCCGTTTTATTGTCTGAAGTTCTTACTCTGAACTGTTCCAGACCAACTTACATTAGGCAGATGGAGCCAATTAAATCCATCAAACTTCACTGGGAATCCTTAATACATCGAAATAATTTCAGCTACTAAAATTAGACATTATTTGCATGGGGATCTGGAAAGCATTAAATTGTTTTTTAACTAAGGTCAACTATATTATTTGTAGCCATCAGTATACCCTACGTGTTAAATACAGGAAGTGTTAGGAAACCACATGCCTGAGGTTTCTTAAAATTATACCAATGTGCTTAATTCAAATAAAATGCAACCAACAGGCAAACAGCTCTTCAAGATGGTTTAAGTCCAGGGAAATTTCTCAGGTTACTTCATGCACTATACAAACCTTGTTAAGCGAAAGAAATTCCTTAAATATACAATGTTGCATGAGTAACATTTCTTATCATACATTTAGCTATTTGCTCGTTTCCTCAGAATCTCAAAACTGATTTGCTAAAGCTGGGCAGAACAGAAAAGCGCATGGCAGAACAACACAGCACAGCACGGCACGGCACAATGCTGAGGGAAACAAAAATGAGAAAATGAGCCAGGGAAGGGCAGGGGACACTGGAAAGTGCCATTTCTTACCTGATCTTGGGACTATTTTAAAGTATTTTAACAAAAACACAGGAGAAGAAGGAAGCAAAAAAAAAAAAAAAAAATCAGACAGGGGGAAAAAAAGAAAAAAATGTTATGGTTGAATGAGGTACACATTTAATATATTTCTTTTTCAATGTTACACTCAGAATATTATACTTGGCAATACTCTAAGAATACCTTAAAACATACTGGCTTTATGATTTATTTTTATATTTGCCTCTGAGCATAACATGAGTTGCCAATGTAAAAAAATGAGTTACATATAACAGCAACAAATAATAATAATGGTACAATAAAAACCAGAAGTGTGGAAGCCTCACAACTTGGGGAAAAAAATTATGAGACAATATTCTGGTTTCATCACTCATTGGATGTCAGCTGCTACAATTTTCTATATGCAAATGAGTGATTAATAAAATGTTACTTTTAATATACTATCTCAGGAAGAGACTCAGCGGGTTGTTGGATTACAAAGCCTATTAAATCTCTAAATAGAATTTTCCCTTGAGATCCTTTAAGATGCTACACATTTTAGTTATAATTTGTTATTATCTGTGGTTACAAGAAATATTAAAGGTTATTTCCCCTTCTTGTTAATGACAGCTGCTACAAGAAGACTTTAAGGCCTTTAGATATAGATCTATAGATATATATATATTTATAAGGCAAAAATTCTAAGTTACATGAGATTCCAAATTCTGTTAAGAAACAAAAAGATTAACTCAAAAAAACATCAATTCAGTAAACTGGCCACATCCAGGACACTGAGAATTAACTCTTAGGTTTACTTAGTGGGAAGTGCCATTTACTATTAGACAATGAAACTTTTTACAACAGATACTTAAACTATAGGAAAATGTCCCCAGGGCTCTGGCTCAGATGGTTTAATTATTAGCTTTCACATAACTTGACTGTCAGCAAACAAGCTGTTAATCCAACCACGGAAAAGAAGTCCCCAAATTCTGGACAAGGTCCTATTTCTTTCAACCATTGTCAGATAAGTTTGAGCCAAGGTTTTCCACATACCAAAGTTTTACGCTTTGGTTGTAAGGATTGAAGTTGCCACTATTCCTGGCTTGCTAAGTCACTGTTTCACTCCTGACATGTCCCTTGTAAACAAACTAATGGGAAAGCTTTAGAAGAGATACTCCAAACACTTGGTAGGCAAGTCTAATAAATAATTTTATGTATATATATCTCAAACATGAATTTTTCTTTCAATGATAAATAGAGAATAGTGAACAACCAACACAAACATTTCTTACTTATTGGGAAATAAGATTTTTCTTTCAATTACAATAAAATTTAATTTTGAAACATATAACCCAGACGGGTTCTCCCAGTTTTGTCTGTGAGGCCTTTTGCTAGTATGCTTGAAGCATGACTGCAAGGTGGAGGGAGAAAAAGAACAATTAACACGTTCAATCACAGACAATTAAGGACTGAAAACCATGAAAGTAATAGCGGAGCACATACAACGGAGTAGCGAACATTTCACCAAATTCACATCCTCATCCAAAGAGCGTACTTGGGGATGATGGTGAAAATGGAAAATGATTTTGGTTTATGACAAATCATGGCTGTTTCAAATGACCTCTGAAAAACAACAACAGCAACAACAAAATACCTGGCAGAACGGGCCCCCAGACTAAAGCCCATGTAGCCCTCGGCAGGCAGAGAATCATCGCCCAGCTCCTTGAGGTCCTGTGGCCCCAGGTACTTGTCAGTGTCCCCCGTCAGCGCATCTTCGCCTGCGGATGGACAAAGCAAGCCACAATCAGAAGCTTCCCTTTGAAAACGTGCCTGTCGTGGAGAAACCTGTTCCTTTGATCATCAGCAAGTCACCCATTCTCTCTGTCCTCTTCTCCTGTCCCCTGGGTAGTATTTGTAGCTGCCGATTAGCAGGAAAAAGTATGGGCAGAGGTTAGTTCATAATTTCAAGAGTGAATTTAAGTAGTAGAAAAAGCACCTGGTGTTAAGCACCAATTTTTTAAAAATCTCTCCCCCTGCCCCCACGCCTAAGTAGAAAGAAGGATTTTTTTTTTATGTCAATTAGTTTTCCTCAACGCACTGTGATGAGGGCAACTTGTTTGAATGGACGTTGTTGCAAAATAAAAACCACCTCTTCCTTACTGCTCTGGAAATGATACATGGGAAGGGAGTTTTGTTAAATAGTCTTCTCACACCCAGGATTTTAGTTTGGGGTTTATGCAAAAAACCAGCAAGTTACTTAATCTGAAGGATAACTGCTCCATTGGGGAATTTTGAATCCCACCGATTTGCAACTGTTCCTAAACGGATCAAATGAACAACCCGGCCCAGCGGCCCCCAGGCCTGAACCCTACTTGGAAAGCACAGATCCAATGGGAGTTCCAGCGGTTTGGAAAGGGACCATAGAAACTGTTCTTCAGTCATCAATACAAAGAGTTAATCGCATAAAATACTTGGCCCAGCTACATATGCATAACATGACCTCACGCGGAAAAACCACATTCCAAGAGTGACAGGGCAGGTTTTCCAGAGGCTTTTGCCCCCTGGGACGTTTCCCATCCTCGCAAAATGTAGCACAGGCCGTGGCAGAGTTCCTTCCGCAAACAGGCAAACTCTGTCTCCTTTTACGACTCTCATTTTCTTTCTGGACACAAACTTGGCTGGCCCCGTGAGATTTCAAAAGCGTGTGTTATGTTTTCTCAAAGGTAAAGTGATTCATCCGCTCCAGCGAAATTTTCCAATTCCTTTCTCAGTACCATTTATACTTTCCATTCATTTAAACTCAGGAAACCACAAGAGCTCATCTTTTTAAACTACCAATCAAGTCTAAAAATACACTGTCAACTACTGTTGTGTTTTTTTTTTCTTTCCCCAATGTAAAAACTAAACAGATCAACTTTCTTCTGCGACACAGGACCAAGAGATTATTTTAAGTAACTATTTACAGCTGGGCTAATTTTCACAATCACCACAAATGAGACAAAAAAAAAACAAAACAGCGCACAGCAAGTACAACTTAAAGATCTTACTCTGTCGCCAAGCCATGTTCACCAGGATGGGGCGGATCAGATGTTTCCTGAGGTTTCCAGGAATTCCTTAACCAGTGATTTAGAATCTACCTCCAAATCAGCCCCAACAAACCAGTCCCTGGGGTGTAGCCACCGTCTTCACCACCGTCGCTGAGTTCCTCTCAGCATCTCCGTCTCGTCGTAGGCAATGGAGGAATCACACATCTTCTCCTACTCATCAGAGCTCAAAGGTTTTCAATATTTCAGACCAAAAAAAAAAAAAAAAAAAAAAAAAAGAACAAAACCTGGCTACTCTTAATTGAGATTAAGATCCTTTTGATTACTCCGCAGACATCCTTTTAAAGCGCCTTCTGATTGGATTAAAAACTCCTCTGGCAAGCCTCTAGCAGGACCGAATGGTGACATAAATGCAAGCCCTGAGTTATTTGTATGTAAATATGAGGGCAGCTCCCGTGTAGCCTTTCGGTAATTTGATACCAGCGCTCGGTGCCTAACCGGGTAACCGAGACAGCCTTAAACCAGGGAGCCAGGAGCGAGGTGCTGCATTTAATTAGGAGGTGCCTCTTCTCCCACGTGGATGAGGAGCCGGCCAACCCAGGTAGAGGAAAAACAGAAGAAAACAAAGAAGCGGCCCAGCGGGGAGTGGCGGGGAGCTCCCGGCAAACTTTCAACTTTGTTCTCAGCCGGGACACCGGGAGCCGCGGTTATTTATGGTCCCTGTCAGGTGGAAGGAGAGGAAAAAAAGAGAGCGAGAGGGAGGGCCTGCCCTTGAGAAGAGGTTGTGAAACTGTGGGGCCGAGGGAAGCAGCAGTGATTCCCAGAGCTCTCCAAGAAGCTCTTGAGAACGCACTC